ATTTTTTTCTTAATAGTAGGATTGATCTTATTTCTTGGTTTTAGTAATTTATAATATGGATGTTCAAAAATCATAAATGCTGTCGGAGATTAGGTAAAACAGTTTAAAATTTAATTCTTTTATGACTGAATCGTTTCATGAATAATCTTGATTATCCTGATACTATAATCTTAAAAAGCTTTAAAAGTGGTTTTATAATATTGCGGACTGTAGTTTTGAAACATTGTTATAAAATACTCCTTAAAGCAGATTTAAAGCATCTCTAATGCTCTCTAGGCTAATCTAAAATATTAAATTGACTTTCTCCATAATGACACTGGCAAATTTTAATTACCTACTTCCAAAATGAGCCTTCCATGGAATCGCGCTACTCAGTAGCTAGCACTTAATTTTAACTCTGGAATTTTGGGTGGATACAATATTTTTGAGGAATTCGCTCCAATAAAGACTTAAGGGCGAATTAATCTTGGATTTCCTCTTATTAACAAATAGATATGTATTTATTACATTAGGTCAGTGATGTGATAAATCAAGACCTTGACACATGGCACTATGTCATATTTTATGTTTTGACATATGACATTTTTTATTAATTTTTAATGATATATAGGGGACTTTATAAAGTTAATAAAAACAGAGCACTTGACTATAGTAAGGACAAGGGAAAATATTAAACTCCGTGTCGAAGCAAAGTTAAACTACCGTTTTCCTTACGAAAACAACTACTTCTTTAGATAATACCGCAACAGGCATTGCATTATATCAAAAGGAAAAATAATTTTCAACACTCTAGTCTTGTTATTATTCCGCCTTGTTCTAGAGACTTAGGTACCACAACAAGCTTTGATTTTGCTTTCTAAGTACAGATGGCGTTACCATTTTTTACTCTTAACTACCTATACACTTTCTTAACCAGCATTAATATATTAGAGTAAAGATGTAACACATCAAGCAGGCTTAATTAGAGACTGAAGTCGATATTATTTATTTCTTTCTAATGAGTCCTAATAAGGACGAAACCGGTCCAGTAATGACGTTCTCCTTAGGAAGCAAAATCAAAGCTAGATTGTTGATAATTATTTTTCCTACGACCACTTAGGAAAGTGACACATATCACACTATATAGACCTATGGAAAGTGCCCTATATCACACGCGTATGAATAAGAATTTACTTTCCACCCAAGTGAGAATATGCTACTTTCCGCAGTAGCTGTCAGAAAATGTCAAACACATAATTTCTATTTTGATCTATGTAATGTCCATATTAATACTAAAATCGATATGATTGTTAAATTATTGTAAATTAGATCCTAGATATTTATCTTTAACAATTATTTTTAAAATAATTTTAAAATAACTAAGATATATTTGCTTTTTATTCTGGTTAAACACATAAGCGATTAGATCAATCAATTACCGTAAGGCCTGTTAGCTCTGTTGGTTAGAGCATCAACTTTGCAATTTGAGACCGTCCAACGACCGCGATCGAATCCTGGCTCTGCCAGAATTTTTTTTTTTATTTTTTTTTATTTGTTTAGAAATTATGAAAATTTAATAAATACGATTATTGTTGATTATTTTTTTAAATACATTTTAATTATTATAATAATCTGGTTTTACATTTTTTGATGAAATTATTTTGTGGTCGTAGGAAAAATATTGTACATCACTTGTGTGAAAAGTGATTTTCCACACTCGTAATGTAATATACTATTCTCCCTGCTCTTTTCCTTTTGATATAAACGAATTCCTATTTCGGTATTAGCCAAGGGAGCAGTTGTTTTCAGGAAAAAAACGGTCGAAAAATTTGCTGTGATACGGACTTTGAGATTTTCGTTGCCTTTGTTTTTCAGATAATTTTTAATAGGCCTTCAGCGTGTTTAGCCATTAGATCAACTGATATGTTGAATTTAGTTTCATTTTTGTTAACTAGAACCATACTAAAACGCTTTTCTCGATTATAGTTATATAGGAAACATTTTTTTAGTGTGGGTGGAAAAGTAGGTAATTTTTAAAACCGCGGGTGGATAAAGGGGGAATTTTGAAAATAAGTGATGAGAAATGTTCTATAACAATTTTTTATATTCAAGCGGATTTATAATATTGGATTGGTTAAATAATTTGGTTTTATAATATGTAACGATCATAAGATATAATGTTTCAGCATATTATTATTTATATTTTAATAATCTGTTATAATGAACCAACTAGGTATGCAGCTTCTGGAACAAATTCATAAAAAAGCCGTATTGTTAAACTGACTATCATCAGCCAGGTTGTAAATTACACAGTTAAAAAAATTTATCCATTTGGGCAAAAACTACAAATGAATTGAAATAATAAAGTGATAGGTAATAAGTTTTTTTTACCTCACAGTGTCGGGTATAAGAAGTTATATAAAAAAGTTTAGTATTCAATATCATCCAAACAAAAAACACAAACATGTTTAAATAAATATATTAAATAAAATATGACCATTCTTTAACAAAGGTATCTTTATTTGTATTATGAATTTAATGTTTATGCCAACAAACTTATTTCGGTATTTGTAACAATTTGTAAAGATAACTCTTGTACAATAATAATATTAATATTTAAAGGTTTTTAAGTCTAATTTATTTATATTTTATTTAAAACACACTATTTACAATTTATTTATGACGTACTATATAATTTATATAATACTTAGACACTAACTAACAATTCTAATTTATTTATTACACTTTAACTTTTCATTACAATGTTCTATACTAAACTGTCTATATACAACTGACTTCCGTCTTCACACTCGCGATATTTATATCAAGCCAACTTTGTAACCAGAATACTCGAGACGGTGTGGAATGTCCTAGACTTCCATCTCTATGACTGAACGTCACATACCTACCGCTTGTTCTGGTATATTCGAGAGGTGTCTAATTGTCTCTATATTGCCAGCGCGCCGCTAGACTCCATACCGCGGGAGTAAACTACAGATAGGGTAGGCTTTCGCGCGACAATACTTTTTTGGAATGAAAGCATTAGTTCCTGTTTCTCAGTTAAGCTCCATAAATCAATTCTTATTTTCATCTGAACGGTACTCAAGCGCAGTAAAGTTGCAAACAAGTAAACAATATAGTGAACTTTTCGAAATTCAATTTATTTTTAAAATTAAATAAGTTAGTTAAAATGTTTGATCGTATGAAGTTATTAAAGTTATAAATAATTACGGTACAAAGATTTATGTGTGAATTTTCAATTTCTATTGATGTGATATTTACTCATCTGCGTTTTACAATATCAATACATGGCTCGGCTTTTCACAAAACCCTGTATAGTAAAAATTCGCTTATTACCATGTTTTAGAAATAAATAAATAAAATGTAACTCTTAATTTAATAAACATATTTAAAATAATTTAATATTCCTTGCGTCATGTTAATAAAAATTAAACAAAATTTCTCACCATTTATTTGACATTCTGACCCTCTATTAGGCACATTGCACCTAAATTTTTTGAATTTTATTTTGCATCTTTTCTTCCGAAAATCTGTCATTATAAGGAATTTTATCCACTTTTATTCCTCGAGGAGTCCAAACGTACAAAATGCAAAACTCAATTTGTGTTATGTGCAGCTAGCCCTGAATTTGAAAATACGGTATTGTCCTTTTCTCAGAAAGTTATTTCTCTCCTGCCTATTCCTTCTTGTAAAGTCAGCATTCTAGTTCCATATGGACATTTTACCTCTTGTTTTGTTTTTTAAATTCCATCCGAACTGGCAGCAACATAATGAAATTCGGAATCAATAAAAATCTACATTTTAAAACATTTTCTTGCAAATATTATTTTGCTCTGGATGTATTGTCCGTGCCATATTTAATGACTTTAGCAAAAAATAAAAGATTTCATAAGATTTTAAGCTTTTAGGGTATTTTTTTAATTTTTATTATAAGAAAAATAAATTCTTCTATAGGCCAAAATTTTAGATTTTTTTTTAAAAGAAACTGATTTTAATTTTTAACTAGAGAGGAGTACCGGTTCAGCCTTTACTTGTATTTACAAAAATTTTCTTGTAGTATAAAATAAAAAATAATCCGTAAAATTCATGTACTATGAAATCCTTGCATATAATATACATGCAAATTTTAGTATTACAGAAATGATTTACGTAAAAAAATGTGTACAAATACATAAAATTTATTTATCTCTCGTAAAACATCAGTAAAATTGAGAAAATGGGTAAAAAAGTCGAGTTTTGTATTTTTTATTTTCTGGAAAAAAACAGAATAAAAATTTAAAAGAAGATTTAACCTTTACCTGTACGCACATATTTCTTCTTTTTAGAAAAATTAAATAAACTTTAAAAGTGGGGCATTATGAAACCATTGCATGCTCTGTTCTTAAAGCCAAAAAATATTCCTCTTAAACATTCCATTGTTTACCAAAGAATATTGATTTAACGTATTTATGTTTCTATTCGCCATATACAGTGTATAAACGTAAAAGGACAAACATAAATAACAACTGGTCGTTTCTCTCTACGTTTCGTGGTAATAATAGCGAACCAAAAAAAAAAACTCATTATTCGTCATTTAAAGCCTTTTTATTCATGTTTTGACAACAAAGGCATTAATCTTGGCAAGATGCATCATAAAGTTTGGTACACAATTTTAATTCGCCGCACGAGGCCAACGATTTCGTATACCAAAATATTATATCTTCAGGTGATAAATGGTGTAAAAGGCACTATACAAATGTTGGCGTTGTGACAAGATTTATTTTTGAAAAATCAACAAAACATTGTCGCGATTTGTTATGCATAATTTTTATTTTTGTAAATGTTTGCATACCTGAGGAATTTTTAGAAAGTAAATGTAACCAAATGATTCGTATTACTCTCAAAAAAAGTACAATGGAATTTAAGAATCCTAACATCTCCACTAGACCCCTAAATTATTAAAGACATGGATAATACCCGCATAATTTAGATAAAATAGAGTAAAAAAGCATTACATAGTTCTAACCTAAAATAAACAGTTGTTTTTTTACTTTTTAACAAAATTAGCTCTATACATAAACAAAAAATAATGAACAAACGACAGCCAAATATCAGGTCTACTTAAAAAATATATATTTGGTTTCCAATATCTACCAAAATATTCATCTGTCTGACAATGCCGCATAATTCTTATAAAATTATTCATCTAACATTTTTATGAGACAATCATTCATGTCGTGTTTGGGATCTTTGTAGTTTTATTGTATGTCTTGAGAATCGATGTTTGAAGTACCTGGAATCTGGCAAGGCCATTTCAGCCCGGCCCAAAAATACCTATAGGATAATTTATTAACCTTTAATTAGAAATGTATTCCATAAGAAAATGTTTTATTAATGTTACCCATCAAAAGTTATAAATAAATAACTTAGCTTCAACTTGAACTTGCACCGGATTTCAAAAAAAAACTTGTAGAACATTTACTAAACTTTAATTAGAATTTACTAAACTAAGGGTGTGTACATGCCGAAGTTGCCTCAATGAGTGGTGATTGATGATTGTTAAGTAGATGTCAATCACAATTGTACAGATTTAAATGAGAGTGTACATACCAAAGATTAGCACACAGCACACCCTCGCATCATCGATGCTTACATCGATATTTAGCACAATATTCAGATGCATATTGAAACCTTGAACGCGATTGACTCTCCAAATTATTTGTGGTGTGACGGTGCCGGTAGCACACGTCATAAAACATAACGTATAGTATTTAACAATAAGTCAATAAAGGGATATCCCAAAAGGAAGAAAAATTCTGCTTCTAATTGAAGATGTTCCAATAAATCACTATATTTTGTCTCAATACAATTGAAAAATGAGTCGCTCATTACAATGCTTTTTGACAACAGTGTAACACAAATAATATAGTATTAAAAATTTTAGTATCAGACTACAGTAGTCCATAGGCGGCAATTGACTTCGAAAATGGTCGATGATACGAACATAAACAAAGACAAGAAGGGTTACTCTAAGCTCCTTCCTAAAGGTTAATGTTGCCTTTCTCGCTCACTTTCTGACGCCACTCTTCCTTGATATACTTTGGCTGATTTCAGTTTCCATTCGATTTAGATTAATGCATTTTGTGAAGAAAGCATAAATTTTTTACACAGTTGTTTTTGAAAGAGAACTTTTAAGTCATGTGATGAAATTATCTTACATTTTGGTTACATCCTACATTGTTCCAAAATTATCGTATAAAACGATCATTGTCGCACACCTGGCAACACTGCTTGAAGCATATATCATCACTCATCGAGGAAGATATCTTCGACATGTACACTAATAATCTATCATTACTCATCGATCATCGATTACACTGCACAACAGCATTTCTGATTGACACTAGCTTAATTTTTAATGAAGACTTCAAATCTAATCTAAATTTCTGTATTAGCTCTAGTTTAGAAAATATGACACATGGCCGTTTCATAGTAAAACACAATTTGTTTAAAGTTAATCATATTTTATTTAGTTCTTAAGGTGAAAAAAACTTTCTTGTATAAGACTTCCTTGCAGAGGTTGAACCCATAGAACTGTTCTGAATGTTCCAACAATAGTTAGCCATCATGTGTGCGTTCCAGTAGCCTTGATACCGTTCCTCCATCGTACGAAGGTCCTGGTGGAATCGCTCTCCTTGTTCTTCACTTAGATCCCCAAGATTAGGGGAAAAATAATCTAGGTGGTTGTGAAGAAAGTGCAACTTGATGCTCATGTTACATCCAAGGTTTTGAAAGTGACTCAGTGGTTGTTCAAAGTGTTGAGAATAGTTAGAACTTTTCTTATTTCCCAAAAGATTTTGAACAAGCCAAACAAACTCATTCCATGCGTTTTTCTTAATTTCTATCATAGTGTCCGTAAATTTTGTGTCTTTTATTAATGATCTTATATGAGGCCCATCGAAAATGCCTGCTTTTATATTTTCTACACTCAGTTTCGGGAATTTTTTTGATAGAAATAGAAAACAATTTCCAGTTTTGTTAGGACCTTTGACAAACTGTTTTATAAGCCCTAATTTTATATGCAACGGAGGCAAAATTATACGATCTCTTGGGTTTATCACGTTTTTTGTTCTGGAACTAGATCTTTCCGAGTAGGCCAATCCTTTCTAACCCAATGTTGATTTTTAGCTCTACTATCCCACAAGCAAAGAAAACAAGGATACTTTGTGTAACCACCTTGCTGGCCTATTAGAAAGTTGACCATTTTTAAATCAACACATATGATCCAGTTATTTTCCACATATTTAATTTTGTCCAAAACCAGAGCAATAGTTGTATATTCTTCTTTTACTTTTAATTTATTCCCATTGTGTAAGAGAACACATTTTAGACTCCGTTTTGACGAGTCTATGAATAAACGCCACTCACTGGAAACATAATTTTGTAATCCCATTGCAGCCATCAATCCAGGTACATCTTCACAAAATACGAAATTGTCTTCTTCAGCAAAATATTTGAGGAAATTATGTTCTCTTGTGCGGTAATATGAAATTGTAGTTTCATTCGTTACCAATTTTCTTTCTTTTAGCCTTGAAGCCAAAATTTCTGAAACTGACTTTGACAGTCCCAGATCTCTAATTAAGTCGTTTAAATCATCTTGATTAAATGGTTTGGGCGTTCCCAGGTCGCAATCAAAGTCACTATCACTACTGCCTTTTTTCGTCTCAAAATCTTCTGGCGCTTCCTGTAAAGTACCAGATTGAGGTTCAGGTGTAGACTTAGAGCTCAGGACACGTCTATGTGCCGATTGTAAGGAAGGATATTCCCATTTGGCTCGATTTTTTCGGTTAATACCCGTTATGTTCACCAAACAAAAATAACAACCGTCATGGTGGTTCATGGGTTCATTCCAAATCATTTCTTATTTGTCCATAAATGTAGGAACTCAACGCATGTTTTGCATATCTTTTGCGGAATCCAAAGCTTATTCTTCATTTCCAGCGGGTGTCCAAAGTAATTTTTGTAAGCCTCATTACGAACGTTGTCACATTTAAACGGTATTCTTTAAATACATATTCTCCGCAAATGAAACAAAAATTGTTTGAATCATTCACACATACTCTTCTTGACGATGCCATATCAAATTACAAAATAAAACAATAATTCAAACAAGAAAGATAATTTCACTATTGTCTTACTAAACCTTCGCCTAAAATAACAAAAGATCATTTTTTAAAAATTCTGAAATTGGGTTTTACCGGTCATTAAAGAGAGGTACTTTTACCTTTAGAAGTATTTTATAAGAAACTACAGGGGGAGTCCGCGGTTGTACAACAGAGGGGTCGTTAAAGAGCGAGCCTAAAAAAACCATTTGGAACATTTACTGAACTTTAATTAGAATTTATTAAAAGTTTTAAACAAAACAGTTTAGCTTCGTAGATAAAATTTTAAAAAGCAAGCATCGTAAATGCTTGGGACTGGTCATAGATTTTATCAATAATATATTACATTTCAGTCATAGTGATCAAAAATATGGTTTAATTATTTATTACTGTATTTCATTCTTGTGCAATAGTATTAAAGCTGGCTAAATTTGTTTTGGCTTCTTTGATATCTTTAGGCAATCATCATACATCCACCAGATGTTACATCTCCTAGAATTTCTTTGAATAAGGATAATTTCCTGACCGTAGTAGAATTTTATATAAATAAAATTATTTCGAATACACCTTCACCATAGCCCTCAGAAAGTCTAGATACCGCTTGGCGTATACTGTCAATACAAAAAAATGACCCCATTCAAGCTTGTCGCCATGTTAGGTAAATTTATGTTTTGGCTACACTGATTTTTAGTTTGTGTGTTCTGTAATACGTGAACACCGATAATCTGCACTTTGTTATTAGTTATAAGTGAGTGAGACGCACAATTTCTAATTTCAAATTAAGAACAAAACTTTGACAAACCTATTTGATTTTCCTAGATCTGTTCAGACAGGACCGGTTTTATAAATTTTCTCGTTCTAGAAATGTTATTTTTACATGGTTATATATATTATTGGATAAGTGTTTTGTGTACATATTGCTATGAGAATTATAGAGAAATTCAGTGAGATTTATATAATATAATTCAAATTACAAGTAAACCATCTGTTCCTGTTTGGCAATATGGAGAAAATACCTACTTCAATGTCAAATGTACTATTTAAAAGAATGTGATTGTTAACCGGTCATTTATTTATATTATGGAAATAAAAACTCGAATTTTTTAACTAGGGAAAGATATACTTACATCGGTAACAAGGTATTTTTAGAAAAACTAATAGATTACTCCTATTCCTATAGTTTATTTGAATAATAGCAAAATTATATAAAAATATGGACCTTTGCCATAAAAACTGTGCTACCAAGAGCATTTTCAAATAAACTTTAATAATAATTTGATTTAATAGAGCGAGTATAAGATGTCACCTGTTAGTGAAATTGGGGCATAGGGAAGAGATTATGAAGCAGGTAAGCAAAGTTGTTGCAAAAGATAAATATATGGAAGTTATTTTAAAAATTTGATAAAAAACTAGTGGAACAACAAATGGAGTTGTCACTATCGGAGATCCAATCAGCAGAAAGTAAAAAAAAACTTTGGAAATGTTGGAAAAGGGCACAGCAATAGGCCCAAAACCATTCCTTGGTTTTTTAATAAATATAATCTTGTGAGATGCAAAAAATACTGCTAGAGTGGAGAAGCAGTATTGTTCTAATGTATAAAACCCAGGGACATACAGCAGTGCACTAACCATAAATTATACGAGTCCCATCTCGATTTTATTTTTAAATATTTTTGAGAATACCTTTTAAAATTTGTTACATTGAGTTTAATAAAACCACAGATTTCGAATGTATTGAAAGTTATTTAAAAAGTACCTCTATAAATATACAGTGAGCATCATAAGTCTTACCCCCCCCCCTCACTAACCCGTTACTGGGGTCTTGTTAGGAAAATCGCCGAGACAGGTAGATTTTTGATTTCTACAATGTACATTTTTGTATAATTAGTTTACCCTTAATTTCATCCCTTACTGGAGGGTAGCAACTCTTTCGAAAAATTTAAATGGCATGGGGTTGTGAGTGATAGCTCATTTGAAAGGGGGTTTTATTTTCTATTCAACCGTGCAAAAAATTTTGAAATTTGCTTCATTACGTGTTGATTTATTAATGTTTAAAATTAACAAAACCTCACAAAATAGGAAAGCAACTAGACTAACAGTGACTTTCTAATGGGAAAAAGTCTTACTTCACGTCTGAACCAAAACCGAAATCATGCAGGGGCGAATTTTAATTCTAAGGATGAGTGCGCTACGTTAATTTCCGTTATTCTGAAACAACAATTAGTCGAGAATTAATGAAGCAAATTTCAATTTTTTTTACACGGTTGAATAGAGAATAAAACCCTCTTTCAAATGAGCTATCACTCACCACCCCATGCCATTTAAATTTTTCGAAAGGGTTGCTCCCCTCCAGTAAGGGATGAAATTAAGGGTAAACTATTCATACAAAAATGTACATTGTAGAAATCAAAAATCGACGTGTCTCGGCGATTTTCCCAACAAGACTCCAGTAACGAGTTAGATAGGGGGGTAAGACTTATGGTGCTCACTGTATAGAAAATGTGTATATGACTAACTGGTTTTATTAATCTTTTTTTGGGGTAGGTAAATATATTTTGAAAAATTTACAATCTTTTTTTAAATAAAAGACAAAATATTTCTGTTTTTATTAACTGAACAATATTTTATACAAACATAATATATACCTATTTAAAAGAAAATATTACATTTTACAAGGATCGCATATTTATATGAAATAACTTACTCAATAAGAAAGAATTAAATGAAACAAATTAATAAACAATGGATATGAAAAATTGCTTTAACAATTTAATCCTTAGATAAACTTATTCTTACATATTGCTTTAATCAATTTATTTACTATAAAAGTATATTTCCTATCATTTATTACATGTAATAAAATAAAGCATAAAACATACAAACTATAATATGTACCTACTTAGAACGGAACTAATATTATTGTATCAAGGTAGTAATAGTGGACATTTTCCGAATAAAAAAAAGTAAAAAAGAAGTAACGGTCGACACGTTTTACATCAGTACGGTGCAGCCAAGTTCAAAGGATCATGGAACGTGTGTTGGAAAAATTGTGCAATAGGTCACTAACAAAGGAGTCAATAACACATTTGCCGTTTCAGCTAGTATCCCCAAATTTTCTGGGCTTATACTAAAGTCACAAAATGATTCAATGGTCTTCCTATGGCTATCAGTTATTCTTTCCTAACATTTTTTGGTATGCTACAACAAAACATACAAATTATTTGATTTTGTAAATACACAAATATTTGTGAAAACTTACACATGAAATGTTATTCCTTCCTTGTATCTTCTACCGTTAGATGCATTGTTACATTCACGTACAAAACAAAAAGAGATTTTGAAAATCCTGTAAAAATTTAACACCAAACCACAAATGTTTTTTATTAAAATAAAACACTAAACGACTAAACTAAAAAATAATGTTTTAAATAAAACATTTACTAGAAGAACAAAATAAACAACACAACAGATAATAAAATCGATTATATACGTCGAACGCCGATCTTACGCTTATTACTAAACTTGTGCCGATTCTGTCTTGTCAGAAGTGCCAACTTAAAATTTATTGACATTTATTTATCATGGCGCCCATCATATGGGGGGTCAAAATGTTTTTACGATGCGGTATCTAGACCTTCTGAGGGCTATGACCTTCACACGTTGTGAAACAGAAAGATGGGGTTTCTGTTATTTTAAAAATTTTAAACTGTTTTAATCGTCCCCCATATTTTATTAAATATTGACTGCACCAGAAAATTGAATAATATGCCAAAACATACCGTCGGCTTACTGACAAAACAAGATATGTTACATTTTGTTAGTTTTGAGTAAATTAAGTTTAAAAGTTTTAACCTACATTAAAACAACTTCATGAAAGAAAACATTAATTGGTAAAAAAATATAAATTGTGGTACTATAAACATAATTATTACCAGAAATAAAAAAAATAATAATTAGCAAATGTATAACTAGTAGAACATTTTTTTTTTTCGGTACTTAACTTATTTTGGCTGAAATTAGGAATTCAGGAAAAAAAAGATAAGTGACACCAATTTGGTTTTGCACTCTAAGGATGCTAATGTAACGATAAAATAAACTGCAAAAATTAGATAATTGACACTTATCTGTTTTATACGCATAGGCATTCTAACAATCTTCTAAACTTTAGCAGCCAAAATAAGTTAAATGGCACTTAAGGCACTTAACCTGTTTTGCCAGAATAATTAATTCCCTTTTTGCATATGACATTCTCACTTTTCGTTAAATGTGCATTTAACTTGTTTTAGCTGTACAGTTTTGAGCAAAATATTTTATTGCCAAAACAAGCCTACATTTTTCAGTACTTTTCCATTGTCCAACACTTATCTGGCTTTTGCAGTATATTTTTATAACCATCTTAGGTACGTCTAAAATTCCTAAAATTCCTAACATTCCATACATTGCATTCTCCAACGACCTGTCAAACAATAGCTGTTGATTGTAAAGGTGAGATTTCTAAGGCGGGTTGTGACCTTCATACTTGCAACCATAGCCATTTTGGACGTTATTTTTATTGGAAATTAGTCGCCAAGCCTGCCAATTTATGAAAAATATATAAGCAGTTTCTTAAAAATTACTTTTTTATGGTGGTGCTAACTTAAGCGTACCACTATTTCGCCTCTAGTTACAAAAACACCTTCATTAAATTTACTGGCTCTCTGTCGCAACCCCATAGAATAATTAACCAGCCATTTTATTTGGCAAAAATTAGAATAAT